GAACTTTGCCATCTTACTGGTGGGGACCCTTCAGTGGGGAAGTCCCACATCTGCACGGTGGTAGTGGGGACATGGGTGTGTATAGTTGCCCAAACTCAGCCAGCTCTGCATTTCAAACCGATGCATCATATCGTATATATAATATGTTCCAATGAGGTTGGTTTTGAAATACAACCCTCTTTGAAATTTGTACTTTGGTTATGTAAACAACAACAACAAAACAAACAGCAAGGCACCATGTTCTTGCTGCTGACAGACACGCTGACATATCTGGAGGCAAACGGTCTTGATGTAAGATCTCTTCTTGAGTGGTCCTGCAGTAACAGTAATAGCGGCCTGTTTATGGATTCAGAGAAAGAGACAGAGCGAGAAAGATTAAACGGCTAATGCAAAATGTTATTAATTGACCAAACTCCGTAAAGACTAAAATTAGAAATTAGAATAAAATGACACCTAAATTTTATTTTCCCCTCGCCTTTAGTCTCCCCATTTCCTTCTTCTCTCTTCCTTTCCTCAATACTTCTCCCCTTACCTCCTTCATTTCTCCTCTTCTCCTGACCTCTTATCCCCCATGTACTGGAGCTGGTGGCCCACAGCCTGCCTGTGTCCCTGGGACAGATCAGGGGTAGACGCGCGTCAGTGCCCGCTGGACATTTTGTAAGCGGTCAAGGGCTACCCGGCCCCACTGCTATTGTGTGGTTGCTCACACCGAGCCTAAATTATTTCTGTGCCTCCCTGGACGTGGCAAAACCTCAGTGGACTTTTCCTGGATCCTTAGTGGCTGCTTTTGATTCGAACAGGAACGTCGGCGGCGGGCTCTTTCCACCCTGCGTGACTTGAGGCTGTAGGAAGTGTTTTCAGATCCCAGGATCTGGGGGCGGCCCCGTGGTGACCGCGCTGGGAGAAGCATTTCCCTATTCACTCGCCTCGGAATCACCCCGGACGCTGTTTAAAATAAGTCCGATTCCAGGCCCCCTTCCAGACCCACGGACCGGGATTTCAGTGGCCCCGGGCAGGTCTGCGTTTTCACTGGTAGATGCAACCGCCGTGCAGTTTGAGACCCAGAAAGCTAAATGGAGCTCCCGCCTCCCACTCTGCCCCTGAGCGCCTTTGCTCCGATTCTGTCAACGAACGCCTTTTATTTCCTGTAGGCTAGGACTGGGGTACAGGTGATTTTCAGCCTTGCTTGTTTTCAGCGGACTAAAGCGCACCCGGAGGCCCAGCAAAGCCCCATCTTGGGTTCAGCGAGCCCGGGCGCGGCGGCCCTTTCGTTTCTATTTTGGGCATAGCGGTGGAGGCCAAAGAAGCCCCTATGCTTGTGAGGCCAGGGTTCCAAAGGCAAGAATGGGGAGAGAAAAATAGTTTATGGGACAGAGCAGAGGGGGGCTGAAAGCAGGCTGAGGGGGAGGGAAAGGGCTTTGCACAGAGGAGTCGCTGGGAGGCTTGGTGGGGAGGGGCAGCCAGGCCTGGATCCTGGAGAGCACCCCAAATTTGGAGTCTTAGATCGCCAGGGCCTCTCCTACCCCCACAAAGAGTATTATTGGCTCCATCTCTCATCCAACCATCTCTGAATGCCTTGGAACAAGCCTAGCATCTTGTTCGTATTGAGTTGAAAGTCTTTTCTGGGGTGGGATGAGTGTGTGTGTTGTGGGGGAAGGTGGCTGAATGAGGCAGGGTGCTGAGCTGCCACACCTAGGAAGTCCCCCAAGGAGGGCTGACAATCTTGGAGGAAAGGGTTTGGACCAGCTGTGAGAGCTGGTTTCATTCTTCTCCCTACACGCTCACTACTCCTGTGACCTTGAGCAGTGAGATGAATCTCCCTGAGAATGGGACTGGACCCAATCCCTGACTTTAGGTAAATAAATTATGGTGGTCAAAGTAACCAACTGAAGTGGGTGAAAAATCGAAGAAATTGTTAAAACATTATGATGAATGGCATCTCCATCCACAGAAAAAGTATAGGATAAGGGTCTTAGTGGGATGGCTGGTAATGATAGAGGTCAACTTTGGAAAAGCATTTTCAGGGAGACAAAGGTGAAATGAGCACAATTCTGACCCTGGAGTGGCTCATCGACTAATGGGGAGCATAAGATGGTAAGATGTGCTTCAAGGCAGGGCATGCTTGGTACATCAGGGTGGTTCAAACCATGGGCATCGTTGGCATAGACATGGAGGGAGCTTTAGAAGATACAGATAGGTCCTACCCAAGGGGGATGCTGATTCAGTTGGTTTTGGCCACGGCCTGGGCATAGAGATAGTAAAAACTCTCAGGTGGTCTCCTAATAGCCAAGTTTGAGGACCACAGGCTGATAGTTCAAAGACTGAGAGATGGCTGTTGAGGATAAGACACTGCTTTCAGCTGAAGGAGCTTTTAAGGGGGCATTATTGCAGAGTTAATGTTTTTACTGAGATACATATCATTCATATGCCACACAATACACCATTTTGAAGTGTACACTTTGGTGGCTTTTAGGATAATGGTGAGGTTGCCACCATCACCACCATCTAAGGAAATGCTTTGTTAGGATGAGTAGGTCTGAGGGGTTGAAGGCAGAGGGGAGTGCAATCCAGGGTAAGGAGATGCTTGAGCAGTGGCACCTGGGGGACAGGTAAGGAGATGGGGACCCACTGTTGCTCCTGGGGGTGACACCACCAGAGAAAAGGGGGTGATGCGAGAGGTGGTGGCGGCTGAGAGGGTGGTGGTGGGGTGCGGGCAGCATGTGTTCATTCAGTGGATGTGCAGCTGTGGACACCAGGGCACCACAGTTAGGAAGCCTTTGCAGTTTTTTAGGCTGAGGCAGATGGTAGCCTGGACTGGGGCAGTGGCTGTGGGGTTGAAAAGGGCTTGGAATTGCTGCCTTGAGTCCAGAAGGCAGGAAAAGGGGGATCAGAAAGGATTAGGGATGGCCATACTCTTAGAGAACTAGGGGAAGGGAGAGGCCTGTGTGTGAGAGAGATGCTGTGTCCACGTGGGATTTGCTGGACTTGAGGGCAGCTGGCCCCAGAGGTGTGAGTGTCCAAAGACAGGTTTGAAAAGGAGTGTGGCGCCACGCTGGTGTTGGAGTGATGGTGTAGAGCCGCCTCACAGGGCTTGTGATGCCCTAGGGTGAACAGAGAGGCCCTGGGGGATGTACGCACCTACAGGCTGCGGCCACAGGAAGGAGACCCTGTCCGATCTTGGAGTCACTGGGACAGCAGGAGATCATCATGGCTGAAAGGCCTAAGGGAGCTCAGAGGCTCGGTGATTCAACTGAGGAAGTTGCTTCAGAGACACAGAGTTGGCTGAAACCTGAAAATAGAGCTCAAATCCGGTCTCCGGTGAGCTTGCCAGTAACCTTGCTCGGTTGAGGGAGGAGTTGTGGGAGAGAGAACTTTATGTCCGGGGAGAGGCAGGCTCCACGGCGCTTGGAGGACGTGAGCGGGGTGGGGGATTCTCCAGGACTGCCTGGAGGCGAAGCCTGAACTCTCGGTGCTCCGAGTCCTCCCGCCCGCCCGCAGGCAGTCTCACTTCCCTGCGCAAAAACCTGAAACCGCAGGCCTTCCTAGCCTTCCCTTTTTTGGCGGCGCTGCCGCCGGACCCAGCAAAGAAGGTTTCTGCTTTGCCGCTCCGCCGTGGGCTTCCTGAGACGGGCTTCCTGGGACGTAACTTTGCTACGTCCGTGGCCCGCACTCCTTGCTCCCGATTGCGTGCAAAAGGAGCGGTGAAGGCAAGGGCCAGGTTTTCCAGGCTGCGGGGCAGATTATCGCGGCTCAGTTGAGCTCTGCGGTGCCTGCGCGCCCGTGGTGGGCAGAGTCGCGGCCACGTGGCTGTGCCCGGTCCTGGGGCTCCTGGCCGGCGCTGCCCTCTTGACCCTTCTGGGGACCTCGGACGGTGAGTGGGATTCATGGCAGTCGTGGGCCTGTCAGGAGGCTGGGGAGGTTCCAGGAGTCCGGGAGGGTTTTGGTGAGTGTCCCTCAAAAGTCTATCCTCCCCGTTCGATGACAGTGCCGCGGCTGTGGGGCTGGGGCTGGACGCATCCTGTGGCCGCCACAGCGCAAGCCTGCTTTTCCAATCTCTTCAGTTCTCTTCGGAGTCTCGCATCCCCATCTCCCCAATTTTCTGCTCTCCTTCCGCGCCTTGGTGCTCCTCTCTTGTGGTAGGACACCTCAGGGAACCGGGCTGCCTCCAGGGCGCCTCCCGTGCTTGGCATTCAAGGGCCCCTGGGGGTGTGAGGCTCTGAACACACTTTCCAGCAGTTGGCTGGGGTGCGCTCCCAGGTTCCTGAGCACCATCCTCACCGCAGACTGGCGCTGTGTTCTGAGCTCTGTCCCTGTCCCCAGTCCTGCCTCGGGAGCAGGATGTTTTTCCTGGTAGGCAGTGCTCAAGGGCTCAGTTCCCCAGGCCCCGTTTTGTAGTGTCCATGGGCTCTATGGAGAGCCCAGCCCTAAAGGTGATCCTACTGATCTGAGCACTGGAGGTGGAGGAGTGTGAAGTGTGAAGGCTCATCACCAAGGGACGCTTCCAGTGACTCCCTGCCCTCCCCTCTCACTGTCCCAGCCTGGCTCTAATTCTTTCCAGATTCTCTCCTGCCTCCTCCCCTGCCATCTCATGCTCCCCGCAGCCCTTTGCCCACCCCCCTCCCTGCTGTTCACTCCTCTGTCTCTTCTCTGATCCCCTCTAGTATGCCCCCCACACCTGTTTTTTGTGTTTGTTTTTTTTTTTGCCATTGCCTAGAAACAGCCTTTCTGGCATGGCTCCTACCTCCTCCCAGCTTTCCTGAACTCAAATATTTTGGTGGTGTCTTTTGCCCAGGGGAATCTCCTCCCATCCCCTCTGCCCTCCTGTCCTCAGCAAAGGGAGCCCTCAGGTGCAGTGTACACCCCCTTGTGGACACATATGTCCCCTGGTTTGGTGCCCCATCCTCTTACCTCCCCTCCAGTTCAGGGCCTGCTCTCACTCTTCTTCCCCTGGGCCTTTCAGCAGCACCCCTGGCCCACTCCTTCATCCTAAGCCTCACCTTCAGGAGGTCTCCACTCTCCAGCCTGGACTCCTGTCTCCCTGGCTCCTCTGCATCCCTCCCAACTCAGCACCTTGTCTTGCTCCTCCCCTGCATCCCCACCTGCCTGGTGCTCTCACCAAGTTCTCATCTCTCACAGCCCTCATTCCCACCACCCGCCCTTGCCCTCACTCTGAGCAGCCCCCTCTCCTGTCTGCTCCCTAATCCAAGCTCTCCCAGGGGTACCCTGACTCCCAGTCCCAGGCTGTCACCATTAGGGACTCTGCTGCCTCTTGCCCTTCCAACCTCTCCACCCCTCCAGACCTGCAAAGTGCTCTTTGGCCTTTGCCACCCACTCCACCATTGGTTCCTAGACCCCAGTGGCCCCCACTCCTGATACCCTATACACCTATATCCACAATCCTGTTTTTGCTGCTTAGTTGGCCTGGCCTTTTTCTATAGTGGGGCCTTCTCCTCTCCTAGCACTGCCCTCCCTGAGCTGGACGGCTACCCCTAACCCTCTCTGGGGGATGCCCTGCCTCCCCAGCACTCCCACCACATAGGCCCTTCCCTAAGGTATGCAACTTGCCCACCTGCCTTGGGCTTTTAAATGGTACTTTCTCTTCCATCCCTCACTCACCCATCCCCCTTTTTAATCCTAGACGACCCTTGGATGCACTGCACTGACTCTTTGGGACCCCTGTCACTGCCTCTCCCCAGGGACACAGGCATGTCCCTCCACCTGAGGCCTCACCATGCCACTGTTCTACTCTGGCCCAGGCCCACACCTTCACCTGCCCCAGAGGTGCTGGTCCACCCTAAACTCCCTGGGGTCACAATCTAATCCTCACACCCCTCTTTCTCTCTGTCCCTGCCTTCCCTCTGACAAGACCACCCCTTCACTTGGGCCTTCATGCCTCTCCCTTGCCCCCTGCAGGCCCACCTCTCCCCGGACCTCGCCCTTAGGATCCGTGCCTCCCCCTCCAGGCACACAGGCTACACGTTTGCCCACCTCCATCTCCCCTCTGCTGTTCCTCAGTCGCCTCCCCTTTCCCCTCGCTGAGTCTCTGGTATGCAAGCTGCGGTCCTGTCACTTCATACATGTGCCTTTTCAGCATCCCCTGGACTTTGAGCTGAGGACAGCAAAGCTTTCTGTGTGACAGGTTTGCTGTGCAGTGACTTGCAGGCCGCAGTTCCCTCTCTCCCATCCTCACCGAGGACCCCACAGCCTTTGCTATAACCTCACAGCACTGTCCCAGGATGGGTCTGTGCAATTGAGGTTTGTCGCTCAGGGCTATTTGGATGGTCAGCCCTTCCTGCACTATGAGCATGGGAAAGGCAGGGCTGAGCCCTGGAGGACGTGGGCAGAAGCGGTCCTGGGAGCTGAGACATGGGACACAGAGACCGAGGCCCTGACGGAGATGGGGAAGGACCTCAGAATGGCTCTAGCAGACATCATGGCCCTGCAGACTCTGAAAAGAGGTGAGAGTAGGGCAACAGTGATGTGAGGCCCTTTTCAGGAAAGCTTGGGGCAGGGAGCAGGGGCCTCTTTCCACTGGGTTTGGCCTGGGTAGGGGGTTAGGAGTGGGGTTGAGGACCTCCATGCACAGGGGGCCTTCACTCAGCCAGTGCAGGGGAAGCATGGAGGAGAGCAGAGAGGGCCCCTCTGGTGGGAGTTTCTGGCTTGGGCAAGGAGGGCAGGGGGCACAGGGACTGGAGAATCACTGCTGGGTGGGGGCAGGCCCACATGCCCTCCAGGAGATTTGGGGCTGTGAGATCCAGCCTGGCAGCAGCACCAGGAGCTTCAGGCATTTCTACTACGATGAGGAGCCCTTCCTCTCCTATCACCCAAAGACCCGTGGGTGGTCAGTGATCTGGTCGTCAGTCCAGACATTGGCTTCAGAAATCCAGAAGTCCTGGGACACAGATGGTTTTCAAAGCAAGGACTACTGAGCCCATGTGCAAGGGACAGCTTTGTGGAAGCCTGCAGAGACATCTGCACTCCTCGATGGGCTTCTCGGAGAGAACGGGTATGACCCTGTGGCAGGGCCTTACTCTCCCCCAGAGCCCTGGAGCCTCCCCGCACCCATCTCTGCCTGGGGAAACCACTTGTACCTTGGAAGCATATATGTTCTGTGGCATATTGTGTTGTGATTTGCCTGTCCTGTTAAAGCCACTGGATAGAGACATGAAGGTTGGGGGGAAAAATGAACTGTCCCTGTGACAGTAATCCAGGGAAGCAGTGGCCCGGCAACAGAATGCTGAGCCAGGGAAGGCTGGTGTCAGGTAGGGGTTCCTGGACCCAATTTCAACAGGTCCTCAGACTGGGGACCATTCCCCTCTGCCTGGCATGTCTGTCACACAGAGTCCCCTCCTTGTCCTGGACCCAGGAGCCCAGCCCTCACATCCCCCTGCTCAGCATCAACATGTGGATTTGAGTGAAGTCCCAGGCCCAGGCCCATCTCCTGCCAGTCTAAAAATTCCCAAAGGAATTGGGCCCCAGGGTGCGGAACAGACTCAGAAAAGGTGTGGGGTCACCGCGGCTTCAGCCGAGCCCGGAAGGTGGGGAGTAGCAGCACTCTTGTCTCGTCTTGCTATCAGGAGCAGGGCTTGGCCACGTGTCTCACTGCTCTGCCCTTCCTTCCCCAGTGCCCCTGGCAGTGAATGTTGACATGCAGCCAGGCCTGTGAGGGCATGGTCACCCTGACGTGCTGGGCTTTCAGCTTCTCCCCCGGGAACATTTCCCTGACCTGGTTTCAGGATGAGGAACCCCTGAGCCAGGACACCCAGCAGTCTGGGGGCAGGGGGTCCTGCCTGGTGGGAATGAAACCTGTCAGACCTGGGTGGCCATAAGCATTCGCCAGGGAGAGGACCCAAGGTACATGTGCTACGTGGAACAGCGCACACCCTGTGCCCTCTGGTGAGCCCAGGCTGACCTAGGCAGGTGGGAAGAGGAGAGCAGGCCTGTGGCTCTGGGGTGTCCCACCTACAATGAGGCTCTTTTGCAGGAAAAGCACTGGTGCATTGGAGTGGGTAGATCACTGTGAGCGCGGCTGCTGCTGCTCTTGCTGTCACAGTGGGTGTTGTGGGTGCCCTTTGGTGTGCAAAGAGAAGAGAACCAGCTGAGGACAGCCCAGGTGAGGAACCAGGTCACCCAGGTATGAAGATCCTTCCATCTCCTGCTGCAGCCAGGAGTAGAGGTGCCCTATGGGCAGGAGTGGAGATGTCCTGCCTACTTCCTGCTCTCTGGAGTGTAACAGGAGGTGCAAGTTGAAGTAGGTATGAGAGGAATTGGGGGCACCACCTCCACAAATGCCCCTCACCTATGTACGCAGCCTAGGCTCAAGCCAAGAATCTTGCATTTTCAGCCTGGGCCTCTCCATAGTGCCAGTGAGCAAGGAGAGTGCTCAGCCAACAGCAGGGAGAGCCTGTGGCTCCACCGTGGCTGATCGCAGTCCTTTCATTTCAGATTCAGCAGGGTTTGTCTTGATGGACTCTCTTGGGGATCATTGTACTTAGTGGTGAGGCCTGAAATGAATTTGGATATTCAAGGGGATTAAATCGTGGAGATCTGCTGGGGAGGAATTAGGAAGTAGTGGATAGTAGTGTGGAATACAATCTGATGTCCATATGGTATTTTTGTCTGTCTTCCTTCCTCCTTTTCCCCTAATTTCCCCTGCAGCTATAAGGAAGCAAGACAATTATCCAAGATGTCCAAATACAGTGTCACCACATGGTGCTGCACCTACTGTCTGTCAAGTGCCTTGGGAGCCCTGACTCTTGACAGGCAGATCAATTTTGGGCAGAGATATTGGTCATCTCTCCACCATGTGGCTCTTCAGATTCTCCTGTAGGAACTGGATCCTCTTACCCTTTGAGTCACACCTAGCCTGCACTCTTTTGAAGTTTCCCATGATGTGTTGTTGTTCATCTCGGTGCTTCCCTTCAGAAAACACGGGCAAGCAGACCTGCACTGACCATTTCAGGACACCAGTCCATTCTGCAGAGGACTCTAGTTATTGCCTCCAAGTCTTTTCCAGTGCAGCCCCTCATGAGGCACAGCCCAGACCATTTACAGAGGGACACTTGGCCAGTGCTCTTGCACCATGAAGTTGCCTTATCAAAGGAATTCTTGTATCTTAGGGTGGTCAGTGCAGAGTGAATTTGCAGTAATGGATAGCAGAAAACAATTTTTGCTCCACAGCCTGATTGTTTGAAAGAAGATTCACCCAGTATCTTTTAGGGGTTCCTGGACCCAATTCCAACAGGCCCTATCAACCCCAAGTAATTCTGAGACAGGATATCCAAGAATTAAAACCAATTCTGATACTACCTGCCTAGAGATAGCATCAGATTCCACAGGTTAAGGGCTCAATCCTGTAGGACTGCCTCTTACCCCCACTTCAGATGCCAGTTGCAAGCCCCAGGTTGTTTCCTGTGCTCCTGACTGACTGAAGGTTCCAAAGACCCCCTCCTTAGCTTTGATGAATTTACTAGAATGGCTCACAGACCTCAGGGAAACACTTAGGTATTTAGTAAAGGATATATAAAGGATACCAATCAATAGGTAGATGAAGAGTTACATAGGTTGAGGTCCTAAACAAAGTAACCTCTATCCTCATGGAACTTGGGGCCTGGCTTGGTAGCACCTGGAGTGTTCTGGTTCCCCAAGCTTGGAAGCTCTACGAAAACAGTGGATCAAAAAACTGTCCTCTTGGGTTTTTATGGAGGCTTCATTACTTATTAAGTCATTGGCTATTGGCTGATTCAACCTCCAGTCTCTCCCCTTCACCAAAAATCCAATCACATAGTTGGTCCTCCTGGCAACGAGCCCTTGCCCTCGGGTAGGTCTAGAATCATCTTCATTAATAACAAGACATCCATTTCACCTTTATGGCTCTGAAGTGTTTTCAGGAGCTGTGGATGAAGACCAAATATATCTGAGAAATAGATTTTGGACATCTGAATGACCAAATACATATTTCTTACAAATCATTTGATCACGTGGTGTAAGTGTGTAATTCCATAATTTTTAGGACCTTTATAGACCTTATAATCCAGTTTTAGAACCCTTCCATCACCCCAAGGACATCCTCTGACCCAATTGGTACTCAGTCTCCATCCACCCATAGCCCCGGCAACCACGAATTTGCTACTCTTCTCTCTAGATTTGCCTTTCCTGGACATTTCATATAAATGGAACTCTACAATATGTACTCTTATTTTGCTTCTGGTATGAAGTTTTTGAAGTTTATTCATTTTGTAATGTGTATCCCTGGTTCTTTTCTTTTTACTGCAGATGGACCACGTTTTGTTTACCCCTTTATCAGTTGATGTGCTTTCAAAGTGTTTCTTATATTTTTGGCTATAATCAGTAATGCTGCTATGAAGTTCCATGTACAGGTCTTTGTGTGAACATATGTTTTTCATTTCTCTTGGGCAGATATCTAGAAGCGGAATTGCTGTGCTGTGCCGTATGTTTATGCTTAACCTTTTAGGAATCCAACAAAACATTTTCCAAAAATTACTATTTTATTTTACACGTTCACAACAATGTATGAGGATTGCGGTTTTTCTGTATCCTCGGCAATACTTATTTTGTTCTGTATTTTTTGGTGTTGCTGTTCTGATGTGTATGCAGTGGTATCTCAGTATGGTTTTAATTTGCATTTCCCTAATGACTAATGATGTTGATAACTTTTTGTATGCTTATTGTAAGCTATTAGTATATCTTCTCGAGTGAAACATCTGTTTACATCTCATACTCATTTCGAATTTGAGATTAAAAAAATTTTTTGAGATAGTTGTAGATTCACATGCATTTTAAAGAAATAATACAGAGAAGTTTTGTGTGTATATTTCACCTAGTTTTCTCTAATGGTAACATCTTGCCTAACTTGAGTGCAATATCACAGGCAGGAAGTTGACACTGATAAAATTAATCAGATTTCACCAGTCTTATAGGCACACACGTGTGTGTATGTCGGTGTGTATATAATTAGCTCTACACAGTTTTGTCATGTGTAGGATCATGAGACCATCAGCACAGCAAAAATGCAGAGCAGTTCCATGCAAGGATCCTTTGTGCTACCCTTTTATAGGTATGCCAAAAGAGAGGTTGAGGAAGGATTAAGTGCAGAGATAAGGGGAAAACTGTACCCACCTCCTTCTCCCCTCTTCTAACCCTGGTAATTAATAATCTGTTCTCCACCACTATAATTTTTGCCATTTGGAGAATGTTAAACAAATGGAATTCTACAGTATGTAACCTTTGGAGATTCACTTTTCTTCACCCAGCATGATGTCCTTGAGATCCATCCTTGAGTTTAATTTCCTAACTGGAAAGCCCACCAGGAAGCTCAGGTGACCAGCAGGCCCAGTCTAGAAAAACCTGTGTCCGCCACAGGCTGGCAGGTTGAGGTCAGTGCATGTGGCTGAGCAGGGCCAGCAAGGAGGCCTAACAGCGAAGGGAGAGGGAACTGTGTGTGTGACCACTCCTGGCCCTGGGCGAGGATGGGGCCTCTCTTTCAGGGGGGCCTTGTGCTGTGTGGGGGATGGGTCAGGGCTTGAGAGGAGGGGAGAACATTGGGTTTCCACTCCTGGATGTTGTCCTTTAGTCCTGCGGCCTTTTGAACATGATGCATGGTGGGTGATGGGAGCAGAGGTAGGTGTGACGGGGATGGAGTCATGGGAGACCAGCAAGGGCTGGGCAAAGTGTGGTGAGATGGAGGAAAGTGGGGCATTATTTTCCCTGAGCCCAAGTCAAGCCCCAAAATCTGGAGAGTCTGAGGAGGGAGTATCTCTGAGAGGACAGAATGATATCGCCCCCCAATTAACTCTTTGCTGTTAATGATCATTTTTTCTTTTATCTCTTTCCCCAGAACCTGTGAAGCTACAAGTCCAGTGATAACACCAGGTGGCGCCAACAGACTACAATGGCCCCACCGCTGAGCTTTCAATCCTTGTCCAGCGCCTCAGTCCAGATGGATCTGGGGGAGCACAGAATTTACAGCCAGGCGGCCTGGATTCAACTCACTGCCCTGCTCTTACTCGCACTGTCTTTCTTGCTACCTCAGTTTCTCCATCTGTGAAATGTGAGGACATTGCAGCACTTACCTCTAGGGCAGAATTTCTCAACACTGGCACCATTAACACTTTGGGCCAGAAAATCCTTGCTAAGGGGGCTGTCGCATGCATTGAGGAGTGTTAACAGCATCCCTGACCTCTCCCACTAGATGCCAGTAGCACCCCACGTTACATCCCCATCCATCGAGTGTGACAGACACTTAAATATGTCTTACGTCTCCAAAATCTCCCAAGGCTGAGAATCAAGGAGGTGTGGCCAGGCCAGAAACTCTGCTTTTCTGGGTCTATCTGGGCCTAAAGCAGGACTGGGTCATGAGTTTTCACCTGGACATGTGCGCTCAGCTTTGACTTTGGTCCAAATAAGGCCTCTTTACCCCTATTTTTTTGTCATTAAAACTCTATCCACCTTTAAAATGAAACAGACTTCCCCCTTATCTCTGCATTTAATTATCCTTCTGTACCCTTTCTTTTGGTATATCCTAGAATGTATCAAATCCAGTTCTAGTAATTAGCATACCTGACATGTCCTTCCTGAGTAGAGTTCTGATTCCTTTAGAATAAGAATATGCTCTCGAGTCTGCTATCCAGGTGGCCTAACTCAATTTGTTTTATGTTACTTCTCCAGGATGAGGATTCTCCTCATCTTTAAATTATGAATATGAATACTTGAATCATTCAGCAGTTTATTTCTTCTTTTAATAAATATTTATAGAACACCCACTACAAGTCAAATATCGTGGCATTATATTGTTTCAAGGATCACATCAGAGCAAATAAACTGTATTAAAGATGTCGTAAGCTATCTACATGTGCTCTATGTCTAAGGAGATTCACATCCTGCAATATTTCTCAAAGGTATGTACTTCTAAGTCTGTGTGGATTTTTATCAGTGTTTGTGTAGTATTTATTTGTCCACCCTTTTACTGGCAACCTTTCTGTGACTTACTGCTGAAAGTATGTCTTTTGTAAACAGCATATGGTATTTATTTATTTTTACCCACTTGACAATCTATGTATCTGAATTACAGTTCACTTATGTTTAGTGTAATTACTGACACACTTGGGTTTAAGTCCACTATCTGGCCATTTACTGTTTTTCAATCTCATTTACTCTTTGGTTCATTATTTTTCTTTTCTTGCTTTCTTTTGGATTAACCCAAAACTTCATAATTGTAATCTTCTTAATTAGCTTTCTATTAGCATTTTATTATTTATTATTTTAATTATCCTAGAAATCACAGGCATATTTGCAGGGACCATGTGTGTCACCCTGAGGATGATCTGGACTCTGAGGCTTGGCTTAAAAGAAACCCACTTATTTTGTCTGTGCAATGAACATTTATTATAATGTTTTATATATTGTGATAACCATTCCCTGAAAATACGCCCCCACATGCTTTAGGGAACCATAATATGCCATCTGGGTGCAGCCTGGCAGGCCTGTTGATTATTTCCTCTAGTGAAGGATTATATAGAAGGCCCAAGTTCGACAGCTGGATATGTTCTCACAGCGATGTGAATCTCGAGCAGTGGTAGTGTGAACATTGTGGGAGTATTTTATTTCTTGTCCCAGTTGTTGTTCCTTAATGAGACATGATCAGTACTTGCTGCCATATGCCTGTTCTGCCCTGTTTCCCACCTGCCCTCAGCTTTGCCTTTTTGGCTGCTTCTGTGATTCCGTGAGCTATGTCCATTACACCCAACACATTCCCTGGTCCTCAGACAGTAAGATTGGCTTTGTGGTTTACCAGTGAATAACTCAGGTAATTACTTCATGGAGTACACAACTTTGTGGAGGATGTGAACTAAGATATAGAGGGAGGTTATTAGTCAATTTTTATTTTTAAAATAGGAAAAATGATGGATAATTTAAGAAAAACATGTTTATTGCCTATTCAGTATAATTCTTGGTGTCAGATGGAATTCATAGGATTATGAAGAGGCTTGCCAAATGAAAACCTAACCAAGGAGCATATGTGACCTTTGTGAAATTCAAAACATGCAAGTAAGGGCAAACACAAGATTTGCCCAGAATATAAAGTATATGTTAAATATTAAATGGGATAAACAGATTAGCCCCAGCCACAAAGACCCTCCTCTCCCTCTAAATGCTGTCCCTGGCCTAGAGCTCTGGCTTTTTTTGGAAGAAGTAATGGGCAGCTGATCGTCCCTTTTTCCATCAAGTTCATACCCACAGGCTGATGGAAAAACACTTGTCACCATGACACTTGTCTCTAGACTTTACGCTTTGATACACATGCCAGGAAGCGAATGTAGGTCCCTTTTAAGTGGTTGTCCAACCTGTGCTCATCCATCCTGATTGCAGTACACCTTACCAACTTTCGATTTTGGCGATTCTCAGAGGAAGCTCTTCAATATGGGTGGGTATCTGTATCCATTTCCTCTCCCTTCCACTTCAGTATAACCCATGAAGCCATATAGAGTAAGCCTAGTGTCTGTTATTTTCCCAACATGTATTCTTATACCTGAAGACACACATCCTGCCTTTTCTTTCACAGAATCTGTAAAATCTCAACATCCCAATAGTCTCTTTTGTTTACTCTTTAGATCTTAATTGGCTTGTGGAGCATCACTCATATTTCTAGATATTCTCATAGAACATATCACCTGGGTTCCTTGCCCCCTGGTTTCCAACTGAGTTTTCTAATAGGAGGCACTGCAGGAATCACTGGGAGGAGGGAGAATGCAAGGCATTTATCGCCGCTGTTTTCTCCAGTGCTGTGCTGCAGTAATGCCGCATTCCTCTCCCTACATCAGGGGCATACGCTTGTGGGCCCTCTCAAAGGCTACAGCTCTGCTGGGTTCTAGAAACAACTCCCTTCTGATGTATCTGCAACAGCAGGAAATTGTTACTGCCTCTAGACTGCCATCTATTGCTGTTTCCTGCCCGTACCTCTATAAATAGCCCAGTCATTAAACTCTCTTCACTTAGTTCTTTGATTCTGTCCTGTTTCCTTCCAAGACCCTGCCATATACAGGGCACTCAAAGGGATAAAATATCAACAAGAATGTACTCATACTGCCGAACTGACACATCACTTCTTCATGCTAACTCCAAAATGAATGAAGTGTCCTAGTGACAGTGCTAGAAGGAAGGCAAAGGCTGAAGCAGTCTGGTAATTAAAGTGTGAAATTAGAGAGAGCCTGTGTGCAGTTGCTGCCCTGGGGGGGGGTTTGGTGGAATTACAAACCTGAAATACGGCCAGGTAGGAATGCTTGTAGTTCTCTTCCAAAATGATACAGAGATAAAGTCCATAACTAAGCAATGACCTCTACAAGGGAAAAATGAACAACATATCTAGAGATGGGTCAGGATTGAGAAGTGCCACTCTCATCCCTTGATTTCCACAGTTTGGAAGAATGTGTCAGCCTCGGGGATGTCTGAGGCCCTGTGACCTGGTACAATAAAGGCCTGTCTAAAGAACAAGTACAAACTACAATACAAAGAAGGAATGCAGACAAAGATGCAAGAAACGACCAGTTGCCATAGTCAGTTCAAGTTGCTATAACAGAAGTTCCATAGCCTGGCTGGCTTAAACAACAGATACTTACTTCTCAGTTCTGGGACTGAGAAGTCCAAGATCAAGGTGCCATGTCTGGTGAGGGCCCACCTCTGAGTTTGCAGATGCCCTTCATCTCACTGCATCCTTACATGAAGGAGAGTACAGGGAGAGAAAGCAAGCTCTCTCATGGTTTTTTTTGTTAAAGTATTATTAATATACAATCTTATGAAGGTTTCACATACACAACACAGTGGTTCAACATTCATCCATATTATCAAGTCCTCACCCCTTCCACTGTGGTCACTATCAACGTAGTAAGATGTTATAGAGTCATTAATTGTCTTCTCTGTGCTGTACTGCCTACCCCGTGACCTACCTATATTGTGATTGAGAATTTTAGTGCTCCTTAATCCCCTTCTCCTTCCTCACTCTCCCTCCCCAACCCCTCCCCTTTGGTAACTACTAGTCCCTTCTCGGTGTCTGTGAGTCAGCTGTTATTTAGTTCCTTCTGTTTTGCTTTGTTTTTATATTCCACAAATGAGGAAAATCATTTGATACTTGTCTTTCTCCCCCTGGCTTATTTCACTGAGCATAATACCCTCTAGCTCCATCCATGTTGCTGCAAATGGTAGGATTTGTTTTCTTTTTATAGCTGAATAACATTCCATTGTGTATATGTACCACATCTTCTTTATCCAGTCATCTTTTGATGGACACTTAGGTTGCTTCTCATGTCTCTTAATAATAGCTCTAATCCATCCATGAGGGCTCTATCCTCATGACTTAATTACTACCCAAATGGCCCACTTCCTAATACCACCACATCGGAGAGTAAGATTTCAACATATAAATGGGGGTGGGGGCAAAAACGTGAGTCCGTTGGACCAAGACAAAGCTGAAACTTTATTCAGCACAGGGAGTTATATATGCCATTTAACCTCCCCTCCTCCACCTGTCTTCCTGAGTCCACTTGCCACTACCTCAACAAAGAGATGGATTTCTTACATTTCTTGTTCCAAACTATAAGATGCTTCATCTACCCTTCTTCATTAAACTATACACCTCATCTTAAGTACAAGAATTTGAGAAAAATATTAAATATTAAGGTTCTTATTCAGGGCAATAAGCTAGAGCGAAAAAGAAAACTCCACAGCACTGAGTCCCACATGAGGCAAGGCCAGGGAGGGAGATTTCTTAGCTCCATCTCCCCTGGAAAAGGAAAGGTGACCCACTGGTAGGGAGCCACAGGTCCAGCATAACAGAAAGTATGATGGGGGAGGGGTGTGCCCAACTGGGAAATGGGCTCTTCTCCCTACTTTGCATTAGTATTAAAATGAGAGCAGCACAGAGATATTCAGGAAACCATTTGGGGGAAAAGAAGTCAAGAGTCTACAGGTAAGCAAAGCAGAAGTGTGAATAATCCCATCTCACATAAGGCAGCTATCCCAAACTATGGGGAAAATGTTAAGGAATAGATTCAAGTCTTGATGCCCCCAAGGATTAAGAACACTTTTAACTTAAAAAAACAAATACCTGCTATAGCCAAACCTGCTCTCCACTGCCTCTGTCCTCTTGCCAGCTGGCCTTTAAGGTGACAGCTTAAGAAGCTATAAGGAAACCATAGTGTCCTGGGCATTCTGTTACTGCCTGGGGAAAAATGTTAAGTGGAATCTGGGCCAGTTTCACAGACAGAATCATGGGATGGAATGAGGATTTTCAATTTCTTCTCCTTTATTGCAAGGATTGTGGACATGGGCTTTCTGCTGTCTATCTTGTAGCCACCTGAGTTAGAAATTAGCTTATTTGTTTAACACATAGTGAGAAAACATCCTTTGAGAAGTTGTTATAGTGGGAGGGGGATGCATTGAAGTTCTAAACTAACTGGCTAATAATATCCCAGGGAAGGTTCAAGAAGTTCAGCCCAGACTTTGGGCAGTTCCAGGGAATGATAGGAGAGAAAATATGTGCAGACACAGAAGCATCACCCTCCTGTAGGTCTGTGCCGCAGCATGGATCTTTCTCTCTTGCTTATACGTATTGAGTGGGCAGTACCACCTATGTTTGGGACAAACATTGCCACCTCTTATTATCTGCTTTTATTATCTGCTTCTGGGGTAGGTGCCCATTGACCTCACCCAGTGTGTGTAGTATGAGATTCTGCCTACATACACATGCTCATCTACTAGTTAGTGTGCTCATTTTGAGTACTTGGCCTGATAACATGTGATCTCTATAAAGAAATGTAAAAATAAAGGACACAATTTTTATAGGTGAACATGAAGACATGAAGTTTGATTCCATGGAACCTTGGATATCCCCTCAATGTCCATGCAACATTTCTTGTCCTACTGGTCACAGTCCCACAGATGAGCAGGAGAATATGGGTCCAGACATGAATTTTTCAGCCTGGAGATGATCCTAGGCCTAGTGTTCATTAGTTAAATAAGGGGCTCCCTGGACACTGGGATCTATGGGAATCCAGGGCTATTGAATTT